CACACACACACACACACACACACACACACACACACACACACACACACAAACACAAATTAGTCCCAAATGTCTTTGACTTAAACATCGATTTTTTTTCAATAAGAAAATGTGGCACTGGTTGTTTTTACATTTTTGTCTCCACGTACATAACTCAGATCATTATTAGACCAATAAATAGGTGGTTGGCGAGTGCTTTGCTGTGGTTTGCTCCTTCTGTCCTTTCAAACATCTATCGTCCTTATCTCCCCTTCTTCTTTTTTATGTTTGTTGCTCTCTTGTGACACCTCTATTCTTCTGGCGCTCATATGACCCTATGCAGTTGCGAGCGTCGTAAAACCTCTACTAAAACTAAACTAAAACATCTATCGTCTCTCTCCTCCTTCTTGTTTGTGTTTGTTACTCTCTTGCAAGAGCTCTAATCCTCGACACTGATATGACCTTTTCGTGTTGCAAGTACCGTAAACTCTTACTAAAAGAAAAAAAAAACTAAAAAAGTTCTATATTTATTACCAAAAACTGATAGACCGAGTTACAGGCTCAGTCTTCAGTCCAAAACCATTTTAAACCGAGGGCAAAAAATCCCCATCAGTTCGTAGTGTTTTTAACGTAAAAAATGAATTTTCTTTAACCCTAAAAACGCGGCACTGGCTGTTTTGTCATTATTGTCTTCCTGTGCACAATTTAGATCATCGAAAAAGCCGGATGTTTAGACCTTGCCTGCCGTGGCCATGTCAGGCTGTCCTCGATCGTACATCATTTTCTGTCTCCAAGGCTCCTAGTCGGTTAATTGTTTCAAATGGGTGAACTGGTAGTAATCTTTTCAAGTTGTATTTTGCTTTCTAAAGTTATGCAAATACGTTGGCCTGCTGTAAGAGTGAAGAGAATGAGTCTGGAGAGCACGTTTTGTGACGTTTGTCAGGGTGAAATTATGGATTCGACGCTTCATTTCCGCCTATTAAGCCCCTTTAGTGTCGATTTAAAGTGAAAACTATTTCGTAACCCCTCAATAGTTTCCACGGGATAAGGCCTGGGATGATTTGGCCTTTATATAGCTGCCTGTGTGTTGATTAATTAAGGCGTTAACTCAAACAAATGCATTTAACAATTCGTATAAGTGATTGTGAACATCCTTATCCTCAATTGACCGTGCCGTGGATTGACATTATGTTATGGTAACTTAAAATAAACAAATGATTTATTTGCAATTTATTGATTCCCATGAGGAAATCTGGGTTACAACGGCAAACATACTTTCATGAGGACGAATTTAGACCCACTAATAATACTTTCAAAGACAGCCAAATACACAGCAAAACAGACAATTTTACGTACATGCTGTTGCTGGTCGCCAGGAGAGAGAGAGAGAGAGAGAGAGAGAGAGAGAGA